ATGAACTCAATAAGATGCGTTCGTTTGAAGTAGAGATAGAGAGAGAAAGCCAGAAAAATGAGAGAGTTGTATTAGATCAGATGCCCTCTTTACAATGTGAAGATCTCCTTTATATAATAGGAGACCTTCCTCGAAAGAATCAAAAAGTTACAAAGGTAGGTAACGTCTCCCTAGTGAAGACATTGAGTCCTAAACGATGTCGCTTTTGCCCCCACGGCCGAGTCGTACCCGCTACGTTGGCAGGTGTACACTTATTGGGCGTACCCACTGGCGTAGAGATGTTGAGAGTCAAATTTGACCCTATACAGACTGCTTACTGATTTTATGTCTAATGACACAGTGGTTGAAATGTTCAAATGGAACGTACTTAAAATAGAGTGTATAAGTGAAAAGTATCGACAAGTTGAAGGAACTATCAACATATTTTGCCATTTTTTTTTTCCTTGTATTATCATCTCTGTGGAAAGTATGTTTATTTATTCTACGTTTCAATAACAAGTTTACGTTTCAATAATAAGTTTATTAATGTATCATTTGCACTGGAAGATGTGATTTTGAAGTATTTGCAATTGACAAGGTATTTCATATTGGGTTATGCACTCACAATTCAAGTTTCTATTTTGTAATTTATGTCTTGCCATTATCTATTAACGTTGAAAATCCAACAAGGTCTTAAGCCTACTAGTAAATGATTAAGTCATCAAATGAGTTTGTTTAATTTGATAGTATTATTTTTTTGCAATATATAGAAGCTATGCGAAGAACATGTAAAGCAGTGAAAGAAAGAAAAGGTTACTAAATTCTACAATGGATCTAATAAGCAAGCAAGACCACCCAGAAAGCCACGATGTCAGTGCTTGGTTCAACTGGATCACCCAGGAGTTCAAGTAGAAGAAGATTTGGAGGTGAATAGAGAGAGAACTCAACGGCGTTCAACAATTAATAATTTTTATTAAGCAAATCTTATCTTATCACCATGTTCCTTATGATTTTTAATAGAGTTGGAACAATTGATTTTTAATAGAGTTGGAACAACTTGTAGATCATCAAGGAACAATAATGCAAAGTAATCCGGTATATATGCTTTGATTATCACATAAAATCTTAAACGCAGAGTACTCACATGTTTGTTTGTCATAGTGTAATTACAGTGTAATTACAAATATATTGTTTTGTTGCACAAGTGTAATTACGCGGTTAAATTAAATTTTAAATAAAATAATTATCAAAACTTAACAGTTAATAAAATAAATATATGCCTATAAAGTTTTATAAGTATAAATGATATTATATTTGGTATTTAAGATGTATATTTTTTTCGTTTATATACATTAATTAGTAATCATGTATTGATAACTAATATTATAAAAATAATTTATATATACTTTTAAAATTAATAACATTTACTTTTGATACTTAAAAAAACTAAAAATATACGTCTTGTATGAACATCATGGAATTCATGTTTGATAAAATAAATTAATATTATAAATATAATGTCATAACATTATTCAAATGTTTGACAAAACTAATCTATCAATTCTAACTAAAAAATGAATAACATGCAATGTGAGCCAATACTACTAAAACAAGCAAATTGGAACCATTAATATAACACAATTTCAAAATTCAAAAAATAAATAAATTATTTAACATATGTCAAATTCCAACATAATAACAGTAAGTTCCACTACTAATTAAGATTAGGAAACATAATAAGTTTATAACCACGTTCAACAACGAAAATCCACTTTAATTGCATCTCTCATTATATGCCAAGTTCGTTAATGACACATTATTTATAATATTAGGAGGTGTAGTTTCAAAAAATAAAATAATAAAGTTATATAGAATATAAGCAGTTACATTGAATCACAAGAAGTAAAGGTAGAGAAATAAAAGATAAATAATGTACAAAGAAAAATATATTTTAAAATTTCAAAAAAAATTAAAAAGTAAAAATAATAGAAACGAGAATCAACGAAAAGCTAATCAATTTATGATAAATTCTCATAATACAAGAAATGTGCAACCACAACCCAAAACAACAACAACAACAACAACTACCCAGTAAAATCCCACCAGGTGGGGTCTGGGGAGGGTAATGTGTACGCAGACCTTACCCCTACCCAATAGGGCAGAGAGGCTATTTCCGATAGACCCTCGGCTCAGAGAAAAAGAAAACAAGAAAAGAAAAGATAACTCATTAGTAACTCCAGTAGCAACCGTAATAGTAATGAAAGCATAACAACCAAGAGATGAAAGACATGCAATAACAGTAACCAGTATCTAAGGCCCAGGGCCAAGATAAACAGCAAGTACAGAGTGTATTCAGCCTAAACTGCAAGCTATCTAAGGTCTACCCTAATCCAGCCCCGCCTTACCCCCGGAACGAAGTAAGGAAATAACTACTACCCCCTAGCCTACAACCCTTATGCTAGATCGCCAGACCTTTCTATCAAGGGCCATGTCCTCGGAAAACCGCAGACGTACCATGTCCTGCCTGATCACCTCCCCCCAATACCTCTTAGGCCTCCCTCTACCTCTCCTCGTACCCACCACTGCCAATCGCTCGCACCTCCTTACTGGAGCATCAAGGCTTCTCCTTTGCACGTGCCCGAACCATCTGAGCCTTGCTTCCCGCATCTTGTCATCCACATGGGCCACACCCACCTTCTTCCGAATATCTTCATTCCTAATCTTGTCTATCCTAGTGTGCCCGCACATCCACCTCAGCATCCTCATTTCTGCTACCTTCATCCTCTGGATATGGGAGTTCTTAACCGGCCAACACTCTGCTCCATACAACATGGCCGGTCTAACCACAGCTCTATAGAACTTACCTTTGAGTGGCAGTGGCACTTTCTTGTCACACAAAACTCCAGATGCAAGCCTCCATTTCATCCAGCCGCCCCTATACGGTGAGTGACGTCCTCGTCGATCTCTCCATCCCCCTGAATCATCGACCCAAGGTACTTGAAGCTATCTCTCTTCGGGATGACCTGTGACCCAACTCTCACGTCCGTGCCTACTTCCCTCGACTCAGCGCTAAACATGCACTCCAGGTACTCTGTCTTAGACCTGCTCAACTTGAAACCCTTAGACTCGAGGGTCTGTCTCCAAACCTCCAATCTCTCATTAACACCGGCCCTCGTCTCATCAATTAGAACTATGTCATCAGCAAACAACATACACCATGGCACATCCCCTTGAATATGGTGTGTCAAAGCGTCCATTACCAAGGCGAATAGGAACGGGCTTAGCGCAGAACCTGGGTGTAATCCCATAACAACCGGAAAATGCTCCGAGTCGCCTCCCACAGTCCTAACCTTGGTCGTAGCTCCATCATACATGTCCTTGATTGCTCTTATATAGGCTACCGGCACGCCCTTCACCTCAAGACATCTCCAGAGCACCTCCCTAGGAACCTTGTCGTACGCTTTCTCCAAGTCAATAAACACCATGTGCAGATCCTTCTTCTTATCCCTGTACTGTTCCACCAATCTCCTAATACGGTGGATAGCTTCCGTAGTGGAGCGACCCGGCATGAACCCAAACTGATTGTCGGAAACCGACGTCGTCTTCCTCACCCTCACCTCTACCACCCTCTCCCAGACTTTCATGGTATGGCTAAGTAACTTGATACCCCTATAATTGTTACAACACTGGATATCACCTTTGTTCTTGAGCAACGGCACCACTGTACTCGACCTCCACTCATCTGGCATCCTCTTCGTCCTAAAGATTACATTGAACAGCCCAGTCAGCCATTCCAATCCTGCTCTACCCACACACTTCCAAAACTCCACCGGGATTTCATTTGGCCCGGTCGCTCTACCCCTACTCATCCTACGCAACGCCCCCACGACCTCCTCCACCTTAATGCGCCTGCAATACCTAAAATCCCGAAGACTCTCCGAATGCCCCAAGTCCCCTAGCACTATATCCCGGTCCCCCTCCTCGTTTAGAAAACCGTAGAAGTACGTCTGCCATCTCTGCTTAATCTGGGACTCCCCCGTCAATACTCTACCATCCTCGTCTTTGATACACCTTACTTGGTCCAGATCCCGGGCCTTCCTCTCCCTCGCTTTAGCTAGCCGAAACAGCTTCATGTCCCCGCCTTTCTCCCCCAATTCCTCGTATAGACGGCTGAACGCTGCATTCTTAGCCTCCGTGACCGCCATCTTTGCCTCCTTCCTAGCCACTTTGTACCTCTCTCTATTTGCTCTCCTCTCCTCTTCGCTAGTGCTCCCTGCCATCTTTGCGTACGCTACCTTCTTCGCCTGCACTTTACCTTGGACTACGTCATTCCACCACCAGTCGCCTTGGTGCCTGCTAGCAAAACCCTTTAATATACCTAACACCTCCCTTGCCGCCTTCCTCACACAGCTCGCCCGTCATTGACCACATAGTGCTCGCGTCTCCACTACTCCTCCAAGCTCCCATAGCGGATAACCTACTCTCCAACTCGTGGGCTTTATCCTTGGTTAAAGCTCCCCGTCTAATCCTCGATCGACCACGAGCGTGCCCCTTTTTCCTCTTCAGCCGAATGCACATGTCCATCACTAAGAGCCTATGCTGAGTCGCGAGGGTCTCTCCCGGGATAACCTTGCAATCCTTGCACAACCCTCTATCACCCCTTCTGAGGAGAAGGTAGTCAATCTGAGTCTTCACCGCCATACTCTGGAAAGTAACCAGATGCTCCTCCCTCTTCAGAAAAGTCGAGTTTGCAATTACCAGCTCGAAAGCTTTAGCGAAGTCTAACAGTGAAGTGCCTCCTCCGTTCCTATCCCCAAGGCCAAAGCCACCATGCACCTCGCCATAGCTACCAGCGTCGGACCCAATACGGCCATTAAAATCCCCTCCAATAAATAACCTTTCAGCAGGCGGAATACTACGCACAATCTCATCCAAACCCTCCCAAAAGCGCCTCTTAACCTCCTCATCCAAGCCCGCTTGCGGCGCATACGCGAAAAAAAATAAAAAAATACAGTATGATATATCATGGAAACTGATAACTATGAGTTTAGCTTGGTAAACGATGGCAAAACCAAATTCTTTCATCCTTAACACAGCTACAAAAGAACAGAAATTATTGCTAAGATTACATAAGCTTACACTGGAAGCATGGCAAAACAACTCTACTACAAACACTTTGTCAATGCTTCTAGATAATCTAATCCGACATAGCTTCCTATGTGTGCAATGGCCATTTGAAATATAATAAACATCTATCATAAAGCGCCTCTTTTATTGGTAGGTTAGTATATCTTACGTCCTCTGGGGAACCAATAACCTCAGTAATTTAGTAATCATCATCTGATAATTTAGGATATGTATCACTATCTGCTCCATTACTAAGTTAATGCCAATTTATCACACAAACATTGATATGCTGCACTGCAGGCCTTGAACTTCTCTTCTGCGACAGCCTGTCAATTAATGAAAAACTTGTTATCTAACTATAACAGTATTACAGAGAAACAGATAAGAAAGGCTTGAATAGCATAAACTGATCTGACTTTCACTCTTGACATGAGAAGAGTGAGGTTCCGAGCATAAGCTACAAGTACTGAATATTGACGTCTAGAATTTTTGGTTCCTTTTTTTTTTTCTTTTTTCTCTTTTGCATGTGTATATTTATATTACATGAACTTGATAGTGCATGCAATTGTCAGTATAGTCCAAGGGCAAAAATAATAACCAGCACTAGGAGCTTGACCGATCATTCAGATGAAACAGCACTATAAACATATTGATCGTAATTGAAGCATGGAGTAGTCTCCGTTGTATTCGCCTTATGGAAAAGCCAAGTGGGGTGTGAGGGATGAAGGTGGAAAAGGGTAAAACATCGAAACAAATATGTAATAGTAATGAAATAGATATACCTTAGATGGGCCCTGGTGGCGATCAGGATGCCATTTCAGCGCACATAGACGATATCTGCAAATTTAAAGCATGTGCAATCAGTGATATAGACGTTACATTTGTCAATAAGGATATCAAAGCGCATCTGAAAGTTAATATTTTTCTATCTGGAAGATCATTAAATACTCACGCATTCTTAACATCTTCCAGATTCAAAGGGCCAGATGCATTCAACCCAAGTGTGAGACGCTGTGAACTCAAATCCGACTCTGAATTTTCAGAGTCTGTTGACTCATCATAGTCTGAATATTGATATCTCCGATTCCACCTATGGTTGTTAGAGTAGCTTGATGAGTTCCTCCATTGTGGTTCTTCATTCATAAATGACCAGTAGTAGTACTTGTTCCCGCCAAATGCTGACCGGAAAAAGGTCTCTATCTCAATATCATTATCCTCAAAGAATTGGAAACCTCCTGAAAAATGAGATGACGAAAATCAGCTATTGCTGAATACTCGAAAGGCACAGGGCGATGATAGCTAAATGGCCTGGTTTAACAAACAAAATACGCAAAGAAAGAAAAGTATGCTTCTTTACATGACACTTTTGGAGCTAAAAATGGTTGCGTTTTACAAGATCGAACTCCACCAAAGGTGAAGTTCTCCAGAAACTCTACACACTGCATTCCATTACAAAAGGTGCACTTACTCTGTTGATGTGGTCCCTTGTTCCTTGATCTTCCCCCTTTGTTTCCACTGGCCCTGAAATCTCGTCTAAACCATGAAGTGTCTCGGCTTGAAGATGGGTCATATTCATCAGAATCAGGCTGCCAGCCCTGAAATGAAGAAAAACAACGTTATTATAGAGTAGTTTCTTCACAGCAAAGAATGAAATAGGTACATTGGGTAACTACTCTTGATTTTTAGGACTTCAGAGTAAAATTGAGTATGTAAATGTGTTTGAGCACATAGATAAGCTGGAAAGCGGGAGAATAATTCTTTGTAGAGTACCCTTGGAAAGTGATAGTCTAAAGGCTTTGAAAATTGAATGTGATGCAAGCAGTTACCTGATACGGCCAAAATTTCCAAGCTTTAACTAGAAGCCCCTTTTTCTAGGAAGAGAATAATGTTGTCAGCAATACGAGAAGAATGTGTTACTGGAAAAGAGGACCTCCATTGTTGAATGTACTAAGTGCTCGTTTGGTTGGTTAGTATAAGGAATTAATCATGGTATAAACTCGGCGTTGTTTTGTACATTGTTTGGTTACTAGTTTGCTTTTCCTCATAAGTAATACATGTATAATTTATGCGGGAATATATGCATTATTTTATGCGGGATAGGATGTGGAATAACAATAAGGGGTCGTTTGGTATGATGGATAAGCAAAAATAATCTTGGGATAAAAATAATCTCAGGATTAAGAATAGTACCGAGATAACTTATATCTGCCAGATGGTAGAATAGTAATCCCAAGATAAAGCATTAAAATTGACAATCCCAAGATTAAAACAACATACCAAACAGTCAATAAGAAATAATTCCAAGATAACTAGTTACAGCATAACTAATCTCAGCATAACTTGTCTTCAAACCAAACGACCCCTAAAGGTATTAACAATACATGGATTAAACATTCCACAAGAAATCATCCATGTATTACATTCCCTGCATTACTTTTTTTTGTTGTTGTTGAGAAAGAAAAATTTCTGCATTACTAATCCCCGCAAAAAATTTCTCTGAACCAAATGAACCGTAAATTTATTCAATGTTAGCAATAACAAGAGTTGAAATCACTTTTAAATTTCAATTCCATATCAAGGAAATTGCCAATTGGGCCCTCAAAGGTCGTCTTGCACATTTACATGGTCAAATAAAGACCTCGGCTTTATTTATTAATGATTTACCCATTACTCAAGGAGCTGCACGACTTGTCCAACTACCAAACAAGCCTCAATGCCTCTATCAAACATCCAGCCATGCCAAATAAGTCAAAAGGATAAGATGGTGAATGTTTTCCATTTTCTGCTTAAGACACTCAAAGCATTCTTATATTTTCCGCTTGTTTCCCACTAGAAGGTGCAGAAAAAGGCACAACTGAACCCTTTTCATCTTTCTACTGCCAGTTTCCAGATGAATAATGAGTCAAATATTTGGAAGCATCCACAATTTAAGAGTTCACCATGAAACTGCACATTCACCAAGACTCCCTCCTGAGTATGATTAAGTTGATTTACCAGAAAGGATTCGTGCTGCAGCGTATGCTGATTAGCAGGAAAAAACTTTGTTGGGGCATTTCAAGCTAAATGTCAGCAAGAAGCAAATTCAACTGCAATCCAACTTCAGAAAAATGAGGTTGTCAAGGTCATCGAACACTTCCTTAGTTCATTTCCGTAGGTGCATTCATAAGAGAGATAAAGAGTGCACATGTAAAACACGTCGAAATGATAAATTACTCAAAAGCTGATCCACAGTTCAACAGAAAGTACTAACACTGGCCAAAACAGCAAGAATAACCCTTCAAACACGCAGCAATCCTTTTCGAGTATTTATCTCTAACAGCTTAAGCTTTTACATGAGATGGTCACACATCTTCAACATGGTATCAAAACATGCAGAGGTCCTGGGTTCAAGTCTCTCCGACCCCCATTATCAAAATAAAAACTTCCACATGTTTGGCCCATGAAAAAGAATCAGATCCACACGTGAGGGGACGTGTTGAAATACAATTAAGTAAATAGCAATGTGCTCTCTCTAACAGCTAAGCTTTTAGATGAGACGATCACACACATTCAACACCAATGACCAAATTGGAGTAGTGACAACAGAATAGTCTCCATTTTGTTAAGAGTTCAACTTTTTAATTAGAGATAGAAGTTAATTCAGTGAAGTTGTTGATTCATTCAACTAGCTAAATACACATATGCTATTGGGTGTGTGCTAATCCAAGTAAATATACTCCACCGTAACCTAATGTATCCACCAACCAGCGAATAAACTATAACACAAACAGGACTATAACAACATACCCAGTATTATCCCACACCGTGGGGTCTCAGGAGGGCAGTGTGTATGCAAACCTTAGCCCTACCTTGTGAGGATAGAGAGACTGTTTCCAATAGACCCTCGGCTCAGGAAAGCATAAGCACCACATTAACGAAAATATAGACAAGAAGGAACAATACCAAAAAGCCATATAAAAGCAGAATAAAAAACAACAAGATAGTAAGGTGATCAACAATGAAAGAAAAGAACGGTTAGTCATAAAAACCTACTACCAACAGAAAGCGAGACTGCATGCAATACTATTGTTATGAACACTCTAGACTACTGACTCTACTATCCTAATCCTCGACCTCCATACCTTCCTATCAAGGGTCATGTCCTCAGTCAGCTGAAGCTGCGCCGAGTCTTGCCTAATCACCTCTCCTCACCTCTTTTCTTTGGCCTACCTCTACCTCTCCGTAGGCCCTCCAATGTCAGCCTCTCACACCTCCTCACCGGGGTGTCTGTGCTTCTCCTCCTCACATGACCAAACCACCTAAGCCGCGCTTCCCGCATCTTGTCCTCAATAGGGGCTACACCCACCTTGTCGCGAATAGCCTTTCTGATCCTATCTAACATGGTATGCCCGCACATCCATCTCAACATTCTCATATCTGCTACCTTCATCTTCTGGACATGAGCGATCTTGACTGGCCAACGCTCAGCCCCATACAACATCATTGGTCTGACCACCACTCTGTAGAACTTACCCTTAAGTTTCGGTGGCACCTTGTTGTCACACAAAACATCGGAAGCGAGTCTCCATTTCATCCATCCCGCCCCAATACGATGTGTGACATCTTCATCAATCTCCCCATCCCCCCTGAATAATAGACAAAAGATACTTAAAACTCCCTCTCCTAGGGATGACCTGCGTCCAGCCTCACCTCCCCTTCCCCTCCTTGAGTCTCGCCACTGAACTTACACTCCAAGTATTCTGTCTTGGTCCTGCTCAACTCGAAACCTTTAGATTCCATAACACAAACAAGACTAATCATAATATTTCTGATCTGCAAATATGTTCACATTCTAATCTGTATACTCTTTTCTAGAACGTAAGAACAGGACTTTTCGGGGCATTTGGTATTACATAACTCTTTGAGCTAGGAGTAAGCTTTATTACATGCTATTCATAAATTTATAAAGTTATCTTGAAGATCCATATTTTTTGGGATCAACCGGATTTTGAATGAGAAACCTTAGTTGCCCAATGAGTATATGGATTTACTAGATTGTCGCCACATAGATGTTTATAACAGAAGCATTTATTACTGACCATTTGAGAAGGAAACCAAGGTTTGAACATTTATACCACTAGAAGCATTTAACGGAACATGAATTCAGCAATAAATAATCTGTTTTGGATCATGAATGACCTGAAAGAACTGTTCAGCAAATGCATTGACATTCTCAAACAGCGTCTCCCTTGAGTTCAGCTTCCTATATCTTCTGGAGTAGAAGTTTGATCTCTGCAACAAAAGCTCGCAATCAGAAAAAGGAAGCATATGACTGTAACTAATTAGAATGCTGGCCAAGTAGGATTTTATATGCTTATTATAACCGCTAACTTGTCTTCTTTTTTTTTTCTATGATGGTGGTATCCAAGCCAGCTCTCGCGTACCTCAACTATTTCACCAGGTAGCTGCCATCTCCCCACCAATACAGGTACCAAGTGATTTTTCCCATCAAGGCTTAGGCAAATGGAAAGAAACCACCGAGTGTTTTTTGCCTTTGTTGGGATTTGAACCTAAGACCTCATGGTTCTTCTCCCACTTCATTGACCAATAGGGCACACCCTCGGGTGTTAGAACCACTACTCGACTTAAAAGACAAATTATTGCACATTGGGATGAAACTGATCCACATGGATATTGAAAATTCATGTAACAGACTCAACTAGTTTGAGGTCAAGGAGTAGTTTTATTGTATCAGAACTATTACTTTTTGGTAACACTCCCATATAGCACATATATAAGAAATGTAACCTATGTTGCCCGGACTCTCCAAAATGATGCCGCACCCGTGTCGGATCCTCCAAAAATACACTATTTTTGGAGGATCCAACACGCACCCGTCAACATTTCCGGAGAGTCCGAGCAACATAGAATATAACCACACTGCAATTACTGGAAGATCCGGTTTAATCTCATAAAATCTATACTAATACAACCGAACACCACTCAGCACCAAAAGAATCTTCCTACACGCCCAGAGGAACTGCAACATTCAAACTGAAACTCGGCAATCCCAACAGAATGAGCCAATGCGATAAAGTTTAATCACAAGATGAACACATCTTTCAGCCAGTGAGGAACGTGAACAGATCTGTCTTCTGACATCCATAAAAACATATTGTCAACCTATGAGTTTCAATCAACTCAAAGCATATATGCACATTAAGACAACAGCCTAAAGGTTTATTAGACCTATGTAAATCCCATCCCCGAAAACTAAGTTTCCTCACGCCAAGAATCCACGCAAGCAGAGGGCACAACATTTTTGCCATTCTCTTTGGTCTAGTACAAAAGAAAGCATTATATCATGCAGCTGATTTTTAGGTTTTGCATACTAGGATGACCGTGAAAGCTACTTGGTAGCAACAAATAATGTAGACAGACTACTGTTTAGACGACCTTTATAAGCATTTCAAAAAGCATTTCGACATGGTATTGTTTGGCGAAAATGCATACACGTAGTTTATACAGGACAAACTATGTGGACTTTCACATTTTTCACTCCATCCATCAAACTTGACTTTTTTTTCCCTCAATCAAAAATATTAACTTTTTGGCAAACGTATTTCACACTTGGGTTTAATATTACCAATTACTACTGAAGACAGGATAATTCATAATTATTTTAGAACTATGACAAGAAAAGACACAAAACAAGTGAATTGTTGTAAACTAATAGATCAACAGTTCAAGGTTAAACAGGAACCCGAGATGACTCTCCAAAGTTCAGAGACACAAAACACTTAAGTACCCAGCCATGCTAGCCATGGAATGTTAACAAGTTAGGACAGAGATGAAGCATTCTCAATTTCTTGATTTTTTAAAATTTTCTTTTATTTACAGAATATTTTTAACTTTTCACCATTAGTTAAGAAAATGCACAAGCTTTTTGCTAGTTTATTGTGTTAAACTCTTGGGAATTTTTCTAAATTTCAGGTCAAGAAGAAATAAAATTTAAAACAACAAGGTTAGCCTCTTCCTTACCTTTCTTCATGTCTTAAATGATATGCTAACCTAAGAAGCTAAATTGGAAAACTACCATATAGTAGCAGGTAATGAACTGGATTTTTAGTCCCATTACTCAAACCGAAGTAAGATACCTATTACACAACATAAAATGTAACTCCACTAGTCATAATCTGAAGGAAAGCATTTTTTTTTTGTTGAAATTAAACAAGCAAATTAGAATGACATGATACAATGTGAAAAAAGATTTTCTTTGCACAATGTTATTGAAGCAAAGTAATATTTATTAGTGGCTCACCCTTGGTGAACCTTTATAAGCACTTCTCCCCTGCACAACATGGAAAAAGGAGCAAACTTTATCAAACATTACAATACCTATTTCTATTAGCAAAAACTAAAAGGCAGAAAGCACTAATTCGCATTCCTCAAAACCAGAAAAACAAAAAATTTAAGTTAAATGTTCTAACTTCTAAAAAGCGTCAATCTTTTTTAAAAGGACTAACAAGGAAATAGCGCCACAGAGAGGGAGTTCGGTTTTTGTCAATAACTACCACCAAAATTGCCTAATTTCCATTTCCAAGACAGCTTTTTGCACACAGAAATATTCATATATCACAAAATAAAAGAACCCCACAAACTGAAACTGGATAAAATCCAAATAAATAACAAGAATAAACGAAATTATGTGAAAGACAGAGAGAAAAGGAGACGAACAGAATCCCATTGAGTGCGTCTTCTGCGTTCCAAGATTGGGGAAGAATGAAAAAGAGAGGCCTTTAGCTGAAAAGGGTTGGCCTGAGAATTGATTAACGCTGCTGTTTTCGTGGCCTTATTCATTGCCGGAAATTCATCTAAACAGGAAACAAGGCTGACTGACTGATGAATTGAATTTGATTTGAGTAGTAAACTCAGGGAAAACACTGGTGCTGGTGGAACATCTGCGGAAAAATGTTGTGTTCCTTCCCTTGACATTTGGGCTTTAAGTATATTTAGGCCCAAAGTAAGATGCAGTTGGGCTTCTTTTGTTTGGGGCGATGTGCACACTAGCCATTAATAACACATGTATTTACTTTTAAGTCACTGTTTTAAATGTCTTTAGTCTTTAGCCACTGCTTTGATAAACTTTTACCTGCCCGGACGAAAATACCCTTCTGCTATAAGGATTTCGCTGATACCTACGCTCCTTATTTACGATCAGCAGCAGCTCAAACTTACGTGCAGAGAATTGCTGTGATCGTCCAAAATGCAGAAGCTTCTCTTCCGATTTCAAACTAGAGAATTCAACTTTGTCGTCCAAAATTCACCATAAAAACAGTAAGTTCTAAAGTTTCAGATATCTCTATATGCTTTTGTGTGGATTTCTATTTCGTTACTAAAGAATAAGATGCTAGGAATTTGATTTTTTTTCCTTTTCTGGATTGATAACGTTAAGGACATCGCGTCCTTAACTCTGTGATTGTTTTGTAAATATTGAGGACATAATGTTAAGGATTTGGTATCCTTAACATGACTGTTGTTCTAAAAAATATTAAGGACAAAGTGTCATGTGTTTTGCAACTTGTATTGATAAAGCTAAGGACACGATGTCCTTAACTTCATGACTGTTGTTCTAAATATTAAGGACATAGTGTCCTGTATTTGCAAATTGAATTGATACAGTTTAGGACATGATGTCCTTAACTTCATGACTACTGTATAAAAAATTTTTGTAACTTGTACTGATAAAGTTTAGGACATGATGTCCTTAACTTCATGACTACTGTGCAAATATTAAGGACATAGTTTCCTGTTTTTGCAACTTCTACTAATAAAGTTTAGGACATGATGTCCTTAACTTCATGACTACAGTGTAAATATTAAGGACATAGAGTCCTGTATTTGCAAATTGTATTGATAAAGTTAAGGACATGATGTCCTTAACTTCATGGCTGTTGTTCTAAATATTAAGGACATAGTGTCGTGTATTTTGCAACTTCATGACCGTTGTTCTAACTTCATGATTGCTGTATAAATGTCCGGAATTTCCAATTTTCTTGACTTGCAGGATGTATACAATATGTATTATAGTTGCTTTTAATGGTAGATGGACTACAGACTATAAGTATCTTGATCATCAAACAAAGCTTGTTCTAGTACCTGAGCCAATTCGATTTGAAGATTTCATTAACCGGGTCTTTGAAGTTATTGAATTGGATAGAGACAAGTTTGAAGCAATGATATGGTTTGATATCAACCTGAGAACAAGCAAGGGAATGCTTGTATCCAAAGATTTAGATCTTCACACATGTATAGAGCTACTAAAAAGTCATTCACTCTTCAAGGGTTGTCATTTCATTGTTGATGTTTCAAAAAGAGTTTTTGGTTCTACAAGCACCTTTGAACATCTCAATACAGAAACTCAACAAGACAATCAAGACAAATGCCAACAGATAATGGAAATAGATGCGGTTGAAGCTCAACCAATAACTAAAGAGGTGCTTCAAACATTTGATTCTATTCAAGTGGAAGGACAAAGCATTATAGAGATTGACAACGAACAAGTTTTGGGTATTCAAGTCTTAGAGAGTGCACCGGTAATAGAAGAATTTGCTGAAAAAACCTCTACTCAACTAACAAGACGAAGCTCAAATTCGAAACAAAAAGAATCCCCAACTACTCAGTTAACACTTTATTCAAGATAGTAAAGATTGAGAAAAATCATGACTGCTCAGTTAACACTATGAAAGCTGATCAAAGGCATGCAACTTCAAAGTTGATTAGTGGTTACATTATTGACAATCTTTGAGACCCAAGGTTTGAAGTTACACCAGCCTTCGTCATGGCAGAAATGCAAAAATTGCATGGACTAGACATTGGTTATCACAAGGCGTGGCGTGCTATTCAACGTGCTTCAGCTTTAATAAGAGGAACTCCTGAAGAGAAATATGAATTATTCTCTTCATATTTGTATATGATGAAAAGTAAAAACCTGGGAACATACACTAACATAAAGATAGACGACAACAACAGGTAAACAATCAAAAAGAGTTTATTAGTCTGTTTTATAAATTTTAGAACATGGTGTCCTTAACTTGGAAGTGTGCAGTGAAAAAGTTAAGGACATGGTGTCCTTAACTTTTATGTGTGCAGTGAAAAAGCTAAGGACATGATGTCCTTAACTTTGATATGTGCATTGTAAAAGTTAAGGACATGGTGTCCTTAACTTTGATGTGTGCAGTGAAAATGTTAAGGACATGGTGTCCTTAACTTGGATGTATGCAGTAAAAAAGTTAAGGACATGGTGTCCTTAACTTTGATGTGTGCATTGTAAAAGTTAAGGACAAGTTGTCCTTAACTTTGATGTGTGCAGTGAAGATGTTAAGGACAAGCTGTCCTTAACTTTGATTTGTGCATTGTTAAAGTTAAGGACAAGATGTCCTTAACTTTGATGTGTGCAGTGAAAATGTTAAGGACAAGCTGTCCTTAACTTTGATATGTGCAGTATAAATGTTAAGGATTTGGTGTCCTGTATTTTTAACCTTCTGTTAAACTGTATTTTCAGGTTTCTTTATATGTTTTATGCATATGGATCATCAATAGCTGGTTGGAATCATTGTAGACCAGTGATTGCTGTTGATGCAACTTTTTTGAAGTCAAAATATCGTGGTGTTTTAATGATTTCAGTTTCAAAGGATGCAAATAACCAAATATTCCCACTAGCCTTTGGAATTGCAGAATCTGAAAATAACAATTCCTATGTGGTACTTTAGTGAGCCTCGCAATGCAATTGGAAGCCGTGACAATTTAATTTTTTTTATCGGACATGCATCAATCTATCGCACATGGCATCGCAAAGGTATATCCTGAAAGCCACCATGGGATCTGTATCTATCATTTGGAGCAGAACCTAAAGCGAAAGAAAGTGAAAAGTGAGGTCATAAAACTTTTCCAAAGTGCTGCAAGAGTATACAGGCGCAAAGAATTTGATCTATACATGTCAGATATAGCAAAAGTTGATAAGAAGACTTTTGACTACTTGATGGAAGAACCACCGAAAAGGTGAGCACGTTCTTGTAGTCCACGATGAAGATATGACATGCTCACAACAAACATAGTTGAGTCAATGAATTCTGTGCTATTAGAGTCAAGGGAGCTGCCTATATTAAGAATGATGGATTTCATCCAAGTGAAGCTACAATGCTGGTTTTATGAAAGAAGAAATGAAGCAGAAGGAACTTTTTATGACGTTTTTTGTTGGGTAGAAGAGGAATTGAAGAAAAAGGTAGATTTAGCTTTTACTTTAAATGTAAGTATTATGTTCTTACTTTAGCTTATTATTTTGATGATAATTTAATATAATGTACTAACTTATAGTTTTTCAACTTTGAAGGTCTTCTCTGTTGATTCATGGCATTCTAGAGTTGAGGAAGAAGGAATTACTTTCTTGGTAGACTTAAACAAAAGAACATGTGATTGTTTTCAGTTTCAATTTGATAAATTACCATGTATACATGCTATCGAGAAGAGAAACATCAAGAAGTCCAATTTCTGCTCGGACTGGTACTTAAAGGAATCTTGGCTGAAAACATATGAAAGAGAAATACATCTTGTAGGACATACGGATTTTTGGATTGTACCAGAGAGTGTTAACTCACAAATTATTAAACCTCCAGATTTCAAAGTCCCGCCAGGTAGAAGACAGAAGAAAAGGCATATTCCAGTGTCACGACCCGGATTTCCCACCATCGGGAGTCGTGATGGCGCCTACTAACGGAGCTAGGCAAGCCAACTTAATTAACAAATTCATTAAACACCTGTTCCCTTTTGACAATTAACGGCATTAAATAAAGGCGACGGAATTAAAATCATAAGCGGAAGACTCAAATGTAGATAGATGATCAATAATACAGAAGTTCCACACATATATCTCTATCCCGGGACTGGAGTCACATACTTACGAACATCTAAGGAGTTCTACATACAAGGTCTGAAAGAAACATAATTTGTTTATCTCGGGTACAATGAGATGACAGCCAAAATGTAAAGATAGAAGGGAGATACCGGGCCTGCGGACGCCTGCAAGCTACCTCGGGTCTCTCTCTGGACTGAAGGTGCGCCCCCGTGCTAATGCTGCTGTTGCTGCTCAAAACCTGGACCTGTGCAAAAATGCACAGAGTGTAGCATCAGCACAACCGACCCCATGTTCTGGTAAGTGTCTAGCCTAACCCCGGCGAGTAGTGACGAGGCTAGACTGGACACCACATAAACCTGTGCAGTTATAATTATACAACGAAAACAAGATACCAAACAACTAGAAACATGGGAGGGGGAAACATGCTGTGGGGAGATAACAACAGTAACAGTAAATCCGAAGTAATCAATCTAGGTGCAACTTACAATTTAAAGCGAACAAGAAACTAATACCGACACTAAACACATTTGCATCAATAACTGTTGCGGCGCGCAACCCGATCCACAATTATCACTATTGCGGCGTGCAACCCGATCCACAATTTTCACTGTTGCGGCGTGCAACCCGATCCACCATTATAACACTGTTGCGGCGTGCAACCCGATCCACATATAACACTATTGCGGCGTGCAACCCGATCCACATATAACACTGTTGCGGCGTGCAACCCGATCCACTTATAACACTGTTGCGGCGTGCAACCCGATCCACAATTATAACTCTCAACCTTGCCCAAGCAACAGTCACAAATAAAGGACAAGGGAGTAAACAAGTATTTGGAAAGAAATCCCAACAAGGGTACACAAATAACCAATGACAACCATGCAAGAGTAAATCGTTATTTCTCTTTTTCTCTCATTTTTATATCCTAACTCTCCTTAGCACTCGTGTCAAGCTCTCAGGCATTTCTCATTTCACATGCTCTCACCATTTGTATTTCAGACCGAGCCAACACTTCACGAAGTTCTACAATCACAATATCATTCCCAATATGTTTACCACGTATAGAAGCCATCAATGAC